TGTTGAAATTAAATGCTTTACCCAGGACCACAGAGCTGCCAGAAGCAGAGAAGGAATGAAGGTCCTACATACCAATCCTACATCCCTATTGCTGACACAAACAAGGAAAAGGAAAGAGACTGGAGATAATTGGGGAGCAGCATAATAGCCAGGTGAAAGAAGAGACGGGAAAACACTTGGGATGGAATTGAGGCTGAAGCAGGATAAGAGCCCAGAGCACAGGAAATCTGGGCACATTCACTACACAGTGAGGCTGAAAAAGTGAGACAATGGCAGCTCAGTGTGGAAAGACTAATATAAGACTAAAATAAGTGATAGAGATGAGGAATGGGAGCAACAAGAGATCAGCAGAGGAACAGCAAAATCAAATGAGGAAGGAGAGAAGATGCAGCAAATCAGTGAGAAAACTGACTGCAGCCTCACCTCTTGGCACTGGTAGACAGCAGCTTAGAGTTTTTACTCATGCTGACTTTGCTTTCCTTCTTCTTAGGGGTGCTTGTCTCTTTCTCTGTCTGTTGGTTGGAGGATGAAGATGAAGAGGAGCTGGTGCTGGCCCTCGAATCGTCATCCGACATAGCGACCCCCCCACCACAACCCCAACCTGGAGAGGAGACACCACGGGGCGTGGGGAACAAACGGTGAATACACACACAGAGAAAGGCAGCTGATAATCTCACTCTGTGTTTAGGCTATACTCCCTTTAAAGGGTCCTCGTGTCTCCCTCTCCTCCTCAGGCGCTACAGTCAGGCAGGAGGAGCAGCAGCTGCTCCTGCACCATTAACGCTGAAGGAGAAAGGGACTTTCAAAGCTTCTTCTCAGGAAGCAGCGAAAGAAGGGACTGGAACAAGGACAAGCACAAGGCTCAGGGAAGCTCACAGCAATTCCTTCTAATCTCCCATGCAAGAGAAGCCATCAGAACCTACCAACAGCCAGTCTAGGGTGCAAGGGACAAAAATGGAGCAGCTTGGGCCTCTGCGGTGGGAGGGAATTGGGAAGGGATGGGCTGAGGGTGACTACTGCCAGCACTGGGATGGAAGTGGGGCATCGGGGTGAGATCCCAAAGGAGGATCTCTGAGCAAAACCTGTGCCCTCTGGATCAAAACCCACGCCTGCTGGATCGGGTGTTGGGAGCACTGTGGGGCATAAAGGGACCAGAGAAACAGGGGGGCTAGGGGACAAGAGCATATGGGGGGGCCCACTGAGGCCCGCTGCACTGCAAGGCACACCGGCAAGCGGGGCTGTGCTGAGTGGGGGGGAGGGGGAGAGGAAAAGCAGGGCCAAGGCCTAGCGGGGTGAGGGCCCGGGGAGCAGCGGGGGGGGGAAGGGGGTCAGCTCTTCCATGCGGGCAGCCCGGGGCAGGAGGCAGAGCGGGGGGCGCCGCGGGGCAGGGCTGGCCCCGAAGGGAGCCGGGAGCCGTCGGGAGAGAGGGGGCACCCGGCAGAGCCGGCGGACGCTGGGAGGGGGGAGCCGGGGGGGGGGGGGGGGCTGCGGCGGGCACAGGGCGAGCGGCGGCGTGCCGGGGGGGCCGGCACCGGGCCGCCTTCCTCCCGAGGCCGCTGCCCCCGGGGAGCCCCCCGCCGGACGCCCCCTCCGCTGCCCGGGGAGAGCCGGGGGCCGGGGGAGCCGGACGCACTCCCCCGGCGAAGGGCCCGCAGGCCGGGCAGCGAGGGGCAGGGGGGACAGCGGTACCTGACAGCCCCGGGCGCGATCCCCCTGCCCCGCCGCCTCCCGCCCCATCGCCGGGCCGCGGCCGGCCCTGCCCCTCGCCCCTGCCCCCGGGAGCGGCGGGGAGGACGGCGAGGGTTGCCCCGTCCCCGTACCTCTCCCTTTGTGTCTGGCTGCTCCTCCTCGGTGCGGCTGGGCCTGGCCACTCGTGTCTCTCTCGCTGGGAGAGAAGCGGAAGTGCTGCAACAGCAACTATTAAACAGGCAATGGCTTCCCTAGCTGCCTCCCCCACCGCCGAGCGGGGCTGGGGGGCGGCGGGGCCGGGGCGACACCCGGCGCGGCCTCGCGGCGAGCGGGAATCGGGGGGAGCTCGGGGAGCCCCGCTCCGGGGCTGGTGGGGATCCCGGCAGCCGCAGCCTCCCCCCTCCCCTTCGGCGGGTGCTGGGGAAGGAAGAAAGGGGCGATCGGAGGGGACGGGAGTTCGTAATGGGGATCCTCGGGAAAGTGCGCTGCAGAGGTGCCGGCTGTGAGGGTTAACCCCGGCTGCCGTCTGCGCTTCAGTGCCAAAGCCCCAAAGGGACGAGGTGGAAGCAGGTGGCTGAGAGAGGGGCAAGCTGCTTCTTTAAGGCTGAGCTGAGCCGGTGCTGTTGGGTCCGAGGGGGGTAAGGGGGGGTGCTTTTTGCTTTCCCCCTATTCTCAGTTCTCACCTGCTTTGTCCCTCCAGCACCAGCAGCAACTTCTCACCTGTCTCAGTTGGAATGCAGTAAGAAAAAAAAAAAAAAAGAGCCCAGCCCAAACCCCCACACATCGAGCCCCGAAGGAGCCCCGTCAGCTCTCACCTGTTCCGGCCCCACCGCAACAGCTGGATGTCCCCTGCCCCCCAGGTCAGCCCCGAGCCCGCAGCAGCGCTCGCCTTCGCCCGGAGTTCAGGATTCCATTGTCCCCCACGCTGCACTCGGTGACATCACTGACACACAAAGAAGGGGCACTTCGTGATGTCATCAGCGCTTGCTAGGAGAGGGAACGAAATCCTGGGCTCGGGGCTTGGCAGCCTCAGTGAGAAAAATCCCCTTCCATTTTCCAAAGGTAAAACTATCGGGGATATTTATTTTTCCCCGAGTCCCCGGCGGGAGCAGCAGTCAGCCGGCTGGGGTGCTGTTGCATTGTGCTTTCCGGGCTCCTTACTCTTCTCCCCGAAATACTGGCGGCCGATCCCTCGCTCCCTGCCCGCCCCGGGAAGCGAAGCACCGTGGCTGTGGCAGCCGGCACCCCCAGCCAGCAGCCCACGCCGGCCCGGAGCCACGCCAAGCGGCCGCCCGCGGGCTGCACCCGGGGTCAGTTTGGCTCAGCGCCGCCACTTTCCACCGCGCACCGAGGGATCCCGTCTCGAATTACTTGACGGCCGAAAATACAATGGCTGTCGCCACCGTGCATCATCATAATTAATAGGACTTTGTGTTTTCATCGTTGCTCCTGCTGGAGGACCGGCGGTCTGCGGGCGCGGAGCGGGGTCACCGCGATTCGGCAGGGCGAGGGGGCTGCACGACAAAACGGGGGGGCGAAAGGACGCCCGGCCCCGGGACAGCTCGGGGCATGCAGCGCTGCTTCGCGGCTGCCAGGTGCGGGGTGAGGCGGGAGGCGGCCGGGTCTCCCGGGGCCGGGGGGGTAGCGCTGCGCCCGACCCCGCACGCCAAGATGGCCCCAGCGGGCGGTGCGCGGTTCGCCACTGAGGGGTGCGGCGGGCTGAGAGCCCAGCAAGGCTCCCTCCGGCCTGCCCGTCTGGGGCCCGCGTGCTGCTTGCTGTGCGGCCCGGCCTCTGCCCGGCTGTCTCGCAGAGGCTATGCGTGATGGTGGGCTGGAGGAGCTGGGGCACTGCTCTCTCGGGCGTAGCCCATGCAGATGGAACAGGGGGCAGATGGACACCGAAGTGAAGCTTGTTTCACCTCCTGGGTTAATCCCCGGACTCCCCAACAAACTTGCTGCCCGGTCTCCCGTGTGGTTGAACAGTGAAGGATATTAGATAGGCACGCCAATGACATTGTAAGAGTCATGCTAATAGAAGAAGGAATTCTACTGCAATTTCACACTTGCTGTTTTGTTTGTTTCCCAGCTGCCAGTCTTTCCTATCTCTGGCATTGCGTATTAGGACATGGTGAATTGTCCTCCACAAACAGCTGGCAAGCAGAGCCAGCCCACCTAGTTTTACCTATTCGAATGGCACTTGTGAAGTCCTTTAGAAAACGTAGAGCTTTGATACATTCACGATTGACAAAGGCCTCACAGGAAATGGTCAGGCTGGATGGGGCACTGAGCACCCTGATGTAGCTGTATGTATCCCTGTTCATTGCAGAGCAGTTGGACTAGATGACCTTTGAGGGTCCCTTCCAACTCAAATGATTCTATGATTCTGTGGTGAAATAATACGTCATGAAAACTGGCATTTAAATAAAATTGGGTGATCTGGATCATTCTGTGTCCCTTGTTGATGAAAGGGGGACCGAATTTAACTCTCTGCTTCCCAGCAGTTAGCAGTCTGTCACTGTCCTCCTAACTCGTGCATGGAACTTTGGAGGATGAGACTGGTGATACAAGCAATGGGCGTGGGAGATGAGAGGACACAAATCACTTGGCTTCACAAATGCCACTTCTTATGGAACAAATTTTAAAAACAGAAGATCTTCACTTTCACTGAAAACAAACCTCTAGCCTTTTCCTGTCATCACAGGAAACCTGCCTGAAAGTCGAGTAAGACAACTGATATTAATAATGAAAGCCCTTCATTTCTGTAACAGGGTGCAGGGAAAACAAAGATTTTTACAAATTTGCACACACATACTTTTCTTATGCTATCAAGTTTGTTGCAGACTGACCTTTTCCACAACATATGATTTTTAGTAAGTCTGTTCGAAGTATTATGATAACCAGCACCAGTTGTTACTTACTTTGAAGCTTACCCAAAAATGCACTCTCTGAAAGTATTTACTAACGTCTTCTCTTCAGCTGTTTCAGTGACAGCTCCCACTGTATGTTATGGCTCATCTTCTAGCTCATGGCCAGGACCAGGCAATGTGCTGCTCTCCTGTGCTAGTCACACCATACCCCTCACCAGAGAGAGAAAGAGACCCAAGGATCCAGCTAGACCCAAGGATCCAGCTTCTGTGCCCTGAGATGTTATTGCAGCTTTCTCACCCATGATTATCCTACCAGCCCTGCACAGGCACTGAAGCACTGCAAGAGTCTAGAAAAAGTTCCTTTTGTATTTTCTAGCAAATAGGTGAACTAGCTCCTCTCATCCAATGTCTCCCCATCTTGAGAATTTTGAGAAAGCCCATGATCTGCTTCTATTTCTTTCCTGTGAAGCGTACACACTTCATCAGGTCAGATTTCCTTCTTACTTGTGCTTCCTCTTTATGTCTCCTAACTTTTTAAAATTATTAATACTCTTATTATTATGGACAAGTTGTACGAAGGACTTGCAGAGAAAAAATGATCCAGATTATTCACTTTTTGTGTGCCCCAAGCTTTTTTAATCTATGGTGCTAGCTCTAAGCAGCAACTGAATAAGACTAGTCAGTTTTCCCTCTGGATAGACTTTGGAGGAGGCTGCAAGGCTAGATGACTGGAGTCAAGTTGCCTTTGGGGCTTTGAGCTTAATTCACAGCAGAATCTAGCCAATTCAAATCAAATTGAGCCTGATGCTAGGGAAAGGTGACTAGGATTAGTTCCTTTGTACCATCTCAGATATCTTTTCAGCATTATTCCTGGCTGGTTTATTTGGGCCCAAGCCAAAGCCCTTCATATTTTCAGCAGTTCCAGTGAGTTTTGCATCAGGCTTCGTGGGGAGTAGAAAAAAATGATCATCTGTTTGGCTCTCCTGATGTCAGCTCACTACTAATGTCTTGCATGTCAGTGGCTGCGGGAAGGCCAGAAGCATGTTGCTATCTCGCACAGTCCTGTGATGACACACTTTGTCTTTTCTGTGTGACTCTATGACATAAGGTCAGATGGCAAGGAAAATCCGTGATGAGCTCAAGATTCACGACAAAGCTATTTGAATAAAGCTAGGCAGAAACTCTGAATTGGGCCAAAAGAGGAAGGAACTTCATTCAAATGAGAGAAAAGGTAACAGAAAATGTAAGTGCTCAGTACAGTGACAAAAGGGTAATGAATCTATAGGGTTACTCTACAGTTTCCTGCTCACAACTCTCTTGCCATATCTTAGTGATGCAGCCCAACTTCCGTTGCTGTAATTTTCTCAAACAGTATGACTTTTAAGTCCTTAGAGCTACATCTTCTTCAGTTCGATTCTTTATAGAAGGGTCCACAGATAGAAAAAGACTTGTTTTCTTTGCTTTTATTCCAGTGCCAGAGAGAACTTTATTGTGGAGGGAAAAACTTTGGTCTCCTTGTCAGACCACTGCTATTTGCTGCTTGCTTTTTGTTTTGTTTGAGACTAGTACTGGGAGCTCTCTGAAGGCCTTGGTGAGACTGTTGTGTGAGCAGAAAGTCCCATTACAGATTTTGGCCTTATTAAAGTCCTGGCCAAACTCCCACAGACTGGAGAGTGGCTGGAAATCGATTCCAAAGGCTTATGAGGAAGTATAGTTATGTGTAGCCATCCCTTTATGCTATTGCTATGCTGCTTCCTTTCATGCCTCTCCTGCAATGGGATGTGGTTCATTTTGGTAACTGAAAAGCTAAAGATGACGAGATCAATTCAGTTTTGCAACATCATAAGAAGTTTCACGAGAAACTGCCTTGGATTAATCCTTAAAATTGCTTTACCTTGAAGATACAATGATTCACTGCTTTCTCAGTTTACCAGATCCATAGTTAGTACTCAGTGCTGTGCACTGTGAGATATATGATTCTTCTTCTGTTGATGTCTCTAGCAATCACTCTGCTGATTCTCATTTTCCCTCCTATAAAAGAAGAGAATGATGTTAACTGAGAGTTAAACTGAAAATGTAAATTGAGGTGCTTGTACAAGCTTCACTCATAGTCACTCATTAGACTTCTCTGTCACTTACTTTTTGTGTCCGATGGATCTGCTTTTCTGCAGAAAGCTGATTCCCCAGTGGTCTCTGCTTCCTTTGGGCTTTGTGGTAGCTGTCTCGGCTTTTTTTTTTCTCTGTTTCTGCAGTGCATAGGCTCCCTGGATTGCAGTATTCCATACTCCTCAGCTTTTTCCTCCTGGCACTGTGTGCTTCCTCAGTTCAGATGTTTTTCCTGTTTCTGCTTCTTTTTCTGTTTACAGAAGGTACTGCTTTATAGTTTGTCATCAGCTTTCCATGTCTACATACCACATTTTTTTGGCAGCAGTGCTCAGATCTTGAAGAAAGTGAAATTATTGTAGTAGATTAAGAAGTAGATGGATTGTCATCAATCAGTCCTGCACTATGAAGGCTCCCAGGACGACGGCATTGCTATTGGCAAGAGTCCTGGGAGGGGTGGAAGGTGTTGGCCAACATGACCCAGACAAGAGGACTTCTGGAGGCAGTGGGCTGAACAACAGCAAATGCACTATATTTTGCCACTTTCGCAAACTTACAAAAAAATCCAAGTTGCTGTTTAAACATGAGTTTGCTTTTTATTTGTCACCACTGTATAGCCAGTGGCAATGGCCACTGTTGGACAAAACCAGTACTCGATGCTTTCCACTACAGTAACAAATAGACTGGGACATTCCTGGTGTAATACCAGATGTAGCTGAGAAAAAGCCAATCTAGAACAGTTTTGCCAACATGAAGTGCAGCTCTTGATGTTGTGTTTTGTCCGTACAACTTCCTGCACAACAATCCTCAGAGCTTTTTTTCTGGTGTAAACTTAACCTTGAAATGTGTCTGTCTTGTAACAAAATAGTCACAGAAGAGAACTGCTGGGAATGGCTCATTAATAGCGTACGCCCATGGCTTATGCCTCTGCCTTTGTTGAGTGCTTTGTGAAATCCAGATGAAAAGGAAAGTATTTTTCATACTGTCGACAGAATGTTACAGGTTGATCATAGTCTCTGAAGATGTACCTTGGAATTTCTCTTGCTCATTGTGGAGATGCAGATCCACAATAAGTCCTACAAAATGTTGGTCTATAGTGTTGAGTGGGCTATTTAAGAACTCAGCAATAAATGGACAAAATAACATTCCCAGTATCCGAGACAAAGGAGTTTCTCATTGTATAAGTAATACTTCATACCTACAGTTCTTTATTTCTGCCCTTTCAAATATTTCTCTCTGTCACAGTATGTGTCACTCTTGCTCAGATGGGTTAGCACAAGAAAATCTGCTTTGCTTGCTTATACACTGAATTGGTAATAATCTTATTCTAGTTTATTCTTTCTACTAAAAAAAAAAAAAAAGAGTTATTCTCTGTCTGCTCCAATTCTATGGATTTGTAAATCCATGCAGGGTAAAAATCCACATGTCCTAACTTCTCAGAAAATGTATTTAGTGAGGATTTCAATTGACTCTTTCAACCTCTGCCTCCTCATCTAACAAAGGTTCTTCTCAACAGAGAAGGATCAGGAGAGGTGTTCAGGGCTTAGTAATTTCACTCTGTGGTTTGACTACAGTTCAAGACTTCAATGGTCTTCAACTGCAATTTTTCTCCCTAGGCCTCCTTATTATTACAGAGCCCTTCAAAAGGCAGCAATAGAAGCACTCAGATTTGTACAGATCCCTGATGCTACATTCTTGAGAAGCCAGTATATGGCACTTCTTTTCTTCTTTTTTTTTTTTTGGTCTGACCAGCACATGAAAACAAAGGATAGCTCATGCATCAGTTTTTTAACTATTACTTACATTTAACACTTACATCTTTTTTTTTTCTTCCTATTTCCCACATAACTTCCATAGTTAAAACAAAAAGGTACATGCTATTAAAAACTGCAGCATTTGTGAGCCTTTCATTTCAAAACTTCTTAAAAGCCACTGTCCCTTTTTTTTTTTTTCCCCTGATCTAGGCCACGGTAACTCTCAAGTGCCAAAGGTTACGGAAGTGTTCACAGCATGGACCAAGACTTCACACACACTGTTTGCTCATTATCCCTTCTCACATTCGTGATCATAGAAAGTCCGTGTAGCATCTTCAGCAATTGCTTACAAGCAAGTAGAAGCTTAGGAAACCTAAACACCTCTGAATACTAATAGAGATTTTGTTTTGTTGGGTAGTGTTGTATTGTTCTGCTCTGTTCCTATACAATTATAAAAGGCAGCTTTGAAATGTGGTTTCTTGCTAAGCTAAAGAATGTCACGTCAGTGGCCTGAAGGACAGCTAGATATTTCAGGCTTTGTCCACACAGGCACATTTCACACTTCACCTGAATACAACTACACAAGTATAGATAAACAAGCATCATCCTGCCTATGAACTGCTGTCTCGATGTAAAAATATTTTCTCCAGTTCGACTGGAACCCTTTCCAGAGTAACATAAGCCAAAATTGAAAAAAGTCTCACTTTGGTAGTGTTCACATGAGGACTGTATCAGTATAATTATAGAACATTACGTAATATAATAAACTCTACTATTGTACAGATGTACTTTGGGAAACTTTATTCACAGTATGGTGAAGTTGCTTCTCAAATCTTTTAATTCAGTGTTACTACAGAGTTAGATCTGAAGCAGCAGGTTCTTGCTTTCATGCTGTGTTTGCAGTCCTTTCTCAAATAATTCATTGCATTCTCTTTCTCTCTTTGACTTACCCTTACATTTCTCTCTCCTCAGAGCCCTACATAGGCTCTTTCTCCATATTTCTCTGGCCACAGTCCTTTGCTTCTCTTTTACATCTTCTGCTTTTTCTTCTTCACACTCTTCCTTGTTTCTGGCTTTTCATAACTCCCTGCAAGTGACTCCCTGAATTCTGTCTGGGGTGTCAAGTGTCATCCTTCTTTTTAAACACATTTTCTCTAAGAGTATAAAATGGATGCTTAACTCCTCTTCCCCACTTCTTTCCAAGTGGTTGCTTCTCTAGCAAACAACACTATGTTAGTTCCTTCTAATTATTTCTTGCTTCTTTCTGACTTACAGGCTGTTCTTGAAATGCCTTGCAAATGCCAGTGGAAGCAGCTTTCTCTCAAGAGATCAGTAATATAGCAAATACTCTGCAGCCTCCCCTGTCCCACCCTGTTCTTTGAGAGCTGCTATTTATTGCACCAGGTAGCATGAGAAAAATAGCAGCTCTCTGGAGAGAAACTATTTTTTCTTAAAACATAGCCAGGCTTTAAGGCCTGTGAACAGGTCACAGTAACGTAATTGCAGAAACCTAATTCTTGTTTCAAGAGGTTTGAATTATTTCTCGGACAGTATCACAAGTCACAAAATATTTTTATAGGACTTGATTTAGATAGACATCTACCAATAGTCATCTGTGGTCACTTAAGCAAATGCAAAAAACAAGCCTCTTATCTCAGAATATAATATCTGTAGAACTGTGCAGCTTAGTGGCATTTTGGGTGGCAACTGTACCACACCTTGGAAGGGTTTCTTTGGAAAACTGGGGTTAAAAAAAATAATAATGAAAGGGACAGTGAACAACAGATGCTAAGAGCACTTCCTCCACCAGTTGTAGTCAGGAGGAGAGAGAGAAATCTTTTCACTTATTCATTGAGAATTTGCACACAAATTGATGTACCCCCAGAAATGAGGTGTACATTTCAAATTCCAGAATTTGTGTGTTGACACTACAAACTACAGGAGGTCCTTATTGGACAGGCTGACAAGAGAGGCTTATTCATAGGATTTTTTTTTTTAAATGGCTAATAACAAAATGGAAAATGGAACATTGCCATTTTTCCTAGGAATTTGTTGTCAAGGAAAGTGGAGATTTTACAAATAGCAGAGACAGGACTAACACCTCTCCAATAGCACTTCTAAATTCTGCCACTGTTTATATTTTAAACATTTGCTAACCTCAAAAATATGCCCATTTATTTTTTGGTGGTGTCACAGAAAGATGACACCATCCTTTCAAATATATAGTGTCACACAGGACAAACAATGCAATGCAATCCTCTGCACTCTGGGAAAGTGCAGGTTCATTCTTCATGAGAGTATTTCACTAGCCTTATATTCAAATTCATCAGGCCTCACACACTGGATGATGAAGTCAATAAGGGTCTTTCTTACTATTAGCTTGATCTGTTTCAAACCAAGTCAATGAGTAGTAGCAGATTTTCTGGAAGGAACTCATTAATGGAAATGCTGCTGCTTTCTGCAACTCCCAGGTATCCAATGGAAGAATCCTTTAGTTGCCATAATGTCTGCTGCATCCTTGTGTTGTGGCTGTGTCACTCAGATATTACGATCTTCTTTAATTTAGCTTCCTTGATCTCCTTTCAGCTATGCTTTTTCTCCTGCTGTGCAATATTATTTTCGTGTCTTCTAGTTTATGTGCTATTGGCAGCCCTTGCTCTCCACTTATCAGAAAAGGAAGAGAGAGGACAGCGTCACACTTGAATGATTTTTTATAAGGTTGGGATATATAGTAGGTTTCACAATAAGATAGCCTGGCCAATAGAGTTTGTACGTATGGATTTTTCGGTTTCTTTGTAGCTATGGGATCAGCTTGCACAGTAAAAGAGAAAAAAAAGAAAAAAAAAAAAAAAGCAAAGAGAGATTCTGTTTTTGCACTGGGATAATTCTATTGACTTCAGCAGGTTTACTTCAGATTTTTTTGCTGGAACAAAGGGAGTTCGGAGTCAAGCCCAATGGATCCGTTTACAGCGCTTTTGGAGACACCAATTTACGCAGTCATTTGGAAAATCTTACTTCCATACTGCTGAAGATCTGGGATGATTCTCAATTCTAATGTATTAGGGGGTCTGCTCTGCAGTGTATAGATGTGTTTGCTTGTAGAATTAGAAATCTGTAAAGTAAACTTTATACACCAAGCCCTGCCTTCTCTTGTGTTTGAAGGCAAAGCAGAAAATAAGATGCATGGAGAATTTCCTGCCCCTGTGCAAAGAGAAAAGCTCATGAGTGTTAGCCTCTAGCAAAGCTGGATACAGCCTCCCAGACTGTGATCGTTTACACAGCCCTCAGGAGCAAACTCCAGCTAGACACAGCTCTGAGCACTTTCCTTCCTGGGCACAGGATGCCAGCAGCTTGCTGCAAGGAGTCCTATCCTGCTGGTTAGGATTTCTCTTGGCAGAGCCCATTCTGAGTGGAACCTTTGCTCCCTTTCATTGCAAGGACAGCATCCTGGCCCCTCTTAAATGGCTTAATGCCCTACCCTGATTCTGTAATGAGACAG